TAGTACCGAGATCAAGAAAACATCCACCGTCCTATACGCCTTCATGGCGTAGTGCTCAATTAGTTAAGCACAGCGACACTTTTGCCATACTGAATCTGAGAGAGTGGGTAGTGTTTATTAATCGGACATTATCGAATCAGTACTTCCGAATGTTTTGTCGATGTTTCATGGTGAATGACTACAAGCAAGCAAAAGTAAAGAGGCGAAAAGTAAGGACAGTTTTAGTTCATCTTACCACTGGACACTGAAAAGATGATGGATGTAAATAAAATACGAGTACATCGTATGTAAACTTTACCCTATTTGCACATACTTTACTGTCAGTGAGTAGTGATATAGAAGGTAAAGGTAAAGCTGTCCCTGTAACAGGCCGCCGAGGCCCATAGGGTTGTGAAACATCGAGGTTCCAACATTTTCTTGATAATCGGCTTGGAGATGGCGGGGATGTTGTCAGCCTTACGCGCCGGCCGCCCTTTACAACCAAGCATATTCCAAGAAGATTCCTGGTACTCATTTCTGTTAGAGGCTGAGTCGACCCAAGGGCCACAGTGCGGCTGGAAGGATTAGGTCAATTGAAAAATCCAATGATCTCTTCGGGAATCGAACCCGCGACCTTCTGGCTTGTAGCATTGTGCCTCAACCAACTACGCTACGGCGTGCCCTCGAGCACTGATATACGACACATCAACAGGGTACTCAAAGAACAACAACGCCAACAACAACAATAACTACTACAACAACAACAACACAATTCTTGTTGTCAGAGGGACAGAAGGTTGGTGCGGTGTTCGAAGTAATGACACATCCACTTGAGCCGGGTCACTGACAGTGCTCCCGTACACTAACGGCACTAAGCGTGTCGCTAAATGTAGGACGAACGGGTGTTAGTGTTGTCAGTGGGCCTCCTCCCACATAACTGAAACATGTGTTACCCGGGACAACACAGCAGTCGGNGGCGTGCCCTCGAGCACTGATATACGACACATCAACAGGGTACTCAAAGAACAACAACGCCAACAACAACAATAACTACTACAACAACAACAACACAATTCTTGTTGTCAGAGGGACAGAAGGTTGGTGCGGTGTTCGAAGTAATGACACATCCACTTGAGCCGGGTCACTGACAGTGCTCCCGTACACTAACGGCACTAAGCGTGTCGCTAAATGTAGGACGAACGGGTGTTAGTGTTGTCAGTGGGCCTCCTCCCACATAACTGAAACATGTGTTACCCGGGACAACACAGCAGTCGGAACTATAACAGCAAGTTGTGGAAAACTTGNACGCTAAATGTAGGACGCACGAGTGTTAGTGTTGTCAGTGGGCCTCCGCCCACATAACTGAAACATGTGTTACCCGGGACAACACAGCAGTCGGAACTATAACAGCAAGTTGTGGAAAACTTGGTGCAAGAAGGGCTCATGACCAAATAGAATCCATTTTGGATTGAACACACTGGAGAACACAGCAAGTATGCCCACACAGGAAAAAGAAAACATGTCTGATTATTTTGTTAAACTTGCAGTAAATTTGCTAAAGTTTTTCCTTTGAATAACCTACGTATAACCTTCAACACAATTCATGTAAGAGTTATAACAAGGATATTTATATTAATGTTGAACACAACATGTTTCGACCCTTATTGGGCCATCATCACGTGTATTTCAGTTTACATTAGTTACTCAATTTTTTTTCAAATACGTATCCATATTTTCTTCATATTTTACTATGAGATTATGTGAATATGCAATAGCAATAACCTCTGGTGTGTTTACTCTTTGACTTTAAACCGTAATGGTATAAAATGTAATTAAAATCAAAAAGTGAGCACACCAGAGGTTATTACTAAGGAATATTCACATTAGCGTAGGTGGTTGAGTCACTTTGCTACAAGCCGGAAGGTCGCGGGTTCGAGTCCGGACGAGGTGGATTTTTTCAACTGACCTAATCTTTCCAGCCGCACTATGACCTTAGGGTAGACTCAGCCTCTAACAGAAATGAGTACCAGGAATGTTCCTGGGGGTAAAGGGCGGCCGGCGCATAAGGCTGACAACCTCACCGCCATCTGTGAGCCGATTGTCTAGAGAATGTGGGAGCTTCAACGTCTCACAACCCTATGGGCCTCCATGGCCTGTTACAGGGATAGCTTTACCCTTTTTTTAACCTTTTTATCGTATAGTAAAATATGAAAAACAAAAATTCAACAACTAATGTAAAATGAGATTCGCCTGATGATGACGCAATAAGGGTCGAAACATGTTGTGTTCAACATTAATGTAAATAACCTTATTATAACTCTGACTTGAATTATTGTGTTAAAGTTTACGATTAGTCGTATACTGTTTCGAATGACACACAACAGGATGCAGCACGTAAAGTTATGTATATTAGCGATCTGCTGACGCTGCCATCTAACAATGTGACCCGTCCAATCACACAGGTCACTCCTATGTTAACTAACTTACTGGAAGAGTATCACTTACTGATCTTATGCTGTCACGGTGATTCAGTGGTGACGCAGATCCTGCTTCTGGGTACTGGCGCCCAGGATTACAATTAGCTCACTACCACATGGGGCCATCAAGACAATGAAACATTGTTATTCAGTCGGACTGAATAGCTGTTCTGAAAGTCACACACACACACGGCAGGCCGAGCTAGAAATGTTTCTCACAGTACTCTTGTGCACCTCCCACACGGCATGTGTCGAGTTGAGTGAAGTTATAGCATCTTTGAGTCACGGTGATTTGACTGGACTCTTGTTGGGTTAGGTCAGCGTGACCGTAGCCTAAGTCTGATTACGTGCTTTTTTCCCAATAATACAGCAGGCGGTCATAACAATTACCTGCACTCGGGTCAACGAAAGAACCCCCACTCCTCTTCCTTGCCACCGCCTTCCTTAGCGTGTCCTCCCTCTCCTCCATTTACCGTCTTCTACAAGCCGTGCACTACAGGTGGCGACTGGGGGGTGGGGGGGCGCAGCAGGCGACCAGTCAGAACTAAGAACATCCGTGTCAAATCACTCCTTGTCTCTGTTGCAGTCTGCAGATACTGTGTCTAGTGTTTGTTAAGGGCAGGTCGTAGGCCCCCATCTTCACAATATTAATTTTATCAAATTTTAATTTTATCAAATTTAGATACATTTTTCTGAGTAGCCGTACATTCCACAGTGATGAAATTTGAACAGATGTAGCTGGGGGCCCTGTGTATTTCGTGACATCATTTTTACAGAGATTTCCTTTTAAACATACTGTGGCTTATAGATCCATTTCTAGGCAACGCCCGAAATACGCGAACGCAACAATAGAAAAGGCACTGCAAGAATTGTTTTCTATGTGGTCCGCACCATGGCCATTGCTAGACAAGGGGTCGCTAAACACATTCCCGTGACAACGAATACTTCTGTTATTAGGCAACGGTGCGGTAAGCATGCCTTCACAACAACAGAGGAAGTGGTGTTTTCTATGGATCCTTCTCGAGACTATATAAGTAGTATAGTCGTAAATCATAGGTCAGTCGTAGTCAGGATAATGAGAATTGAAGGAGTACAAAGGAGTGTAACGGAGTTGGCCTGGGAAAAGGAGACTCGATGTGTGATGTAGCTACAGTGAGACTGTTATAAATCTGTTGCCAGGATACGACTAGTGAGGACTGAGAAGACTTCGCGTGTCCTAGTGATTTGTGAAGTGATTAGCGAGAGCGCTATAATTGATTGTGACTAAGAGAGATGGTAAAAGGTGTTAATAAATCCAATCATCCAATCCAGAAAGTGCTATTATCAGTTACGGAGTCATAAACACTTGGCAATAGTTTTGATAATGTTTCCCCAAAGAAATGTTTAAATGAAAGAAGTCCGCAATTTCAGAGAACATTTAATTGCTTGTGTGCCAGATGTTAAAAGTGAAGATCATGTTAGACGAATGCATCCAATTGTGATAAAATTAACATCACCACGATAAGGTTTACAATTTCCACTAAGACCAAGGGTATGCAAACTACGGCCCGCGGGCCACATCCGGCCCGCGAAAGAATTGTGCAGAAATGCGCCAATTGAACTAATTTTCCAAAGAGTACTGGTAAGGAAAATACTTCTTCATAGATTTCAAATTCATTAATTAAGATTGTGCTTAAAATATATTGATATTCCATATTATGTTAATATTAATATATTCAGCATTTTAGATTTGAAGGAACAATTTCGGAAGCGATTTGCTGATTTGAATGCCAGTGCTCAGGAAATTAGATTGTTTCAAAATCCGTTTGACTGTGATGCTGCAGATGTCGGGATTCAAATTCAAATGGAAATAACTGAACTTCAGGAAAATTATCACATTAAAGACAAATACAAGGAAGGAAATTTGATCGAATTTTATAAATTTCTGAACTCTGAGCAATTTCCAAATTTAAAGAAATTTGCTTGTAAATTTATCTCCATTTTTGGGACGACATATCTGTGTGAACAAACTTTTTCCCAGATGAAGTACATCAAGTCGAAATACAGGGCAAATTTATCCGATGAACATTTAAAGTCGCTACTTGTGATTAGCGTTTCAAAATTTGAACCTCAATTTAATCAGATTTTAAGAATTCAAGAAGAGTTCAATCATTCACATTAATAGTTTTATTATAAATCTGATGAAAATATGAGCTTTTGCTGCTACTGTCTGTTGTCATTAATATACGATAATTTATTCCCACGTACTTTGTATTTAGTTTATGAAATTCTGTGCTTTCAATAAAACTCATATACCTAGAGTTATTAATTTCTAATTTTATCCGGCCCGTTGAAAGTGCTGAATTAACTAATGTGGTCAGCGTTTCGAAAAGTTTGGAGACCCCTGACTTAGATAATTAGGACTATATTATTTTCTGGACATATGTAGCAGATGCATAATAGGTTTAGGACATAAATACGAATATTCTCTCTGAAAATTCACACAACTGGATCCTACTGCTTTGTGATCAGTGTACAGCGAGATTGATTGGCAGGCAGGAAATTCCGAATGACATAAACAAGAGATCAGTCCATCTGGATGACGACAGAAAGCCCAATGAGTTCTCAGTACGAGTCTGCACACGGAACGACACAGCAGTTCCACATGGGAATTCATAAGGCATGAAATCACGGGAAATTTTTAATACCTAGCCTGATACATCATGAGAAAGTTCGACAATCTATTTAAGAAGACAAAGGTAAGTAAGGCGGTCTGTTACTTAATCACCACAACATGATGACGCGTTGTCTGTGTGTCTGTGTGTGTGGGAGGGGAAGAGAGTGGGGTATATGTGAGGCTACGCTCACTCTACTCCACGGATTTAGGAGCGAGTGAGTGGTAAGCCTCACGCAGGCTTTGGCCGCACCCATTAACATGTGAGACTGCGTGGCCCCACAGCCCGGCCGAGTCGTGATGACGAAGTAGAAAATCCCTGTTCGACCCGGAAATCGAAATCAGTGGCCCAGCCAGTCACATTGTCCGCTTCAAATTGGCAGTAACGCTGATAAATGAGATATGAGACCCATAAGAGATCTGCTGTTGCTGTTAGTCTGGATGGTTGGCCTCCCGACTGGGGAGAAACGCGGTGCACTGATAAGGGACCGAAAGCCTCGCAGCACGAACTGTAAGGAACCAAACGTGTTTGAAATGCAATAAGTAAGAGGCAGATTTAGAATATATGAATAACAATTAGGAACAGATATCTCTAAGTCAGCGCAGTAAAAAATGGATATTGTGATGCCCAGACGCATTGCTCGGCAACGGTTCTGTAAACAGACGTTTCTGTGGGGATGAATTCTTGGAAACCAACACGTAAGGGGGTAGCCCTGCGAGTCGTAGGAGGCGACGAAAAGGAAATTCAGTCACTGGGTTCATAACCGGGCTACCCTGTTTCTTGAGGATATAAATATGGGGGACCTGGCCCTCCAGGTTGGGGGAGTCTCGAATCTGAGAGAGTAAAGTGTGTCATGAGCCTCGCGGGACTCGGACCGTAGAATGATTTCGCTGATGAGGACCAGCAGAAATTGTAAACGACAGACCCATCCTCTCGTCAGAGAGGGTTTTACATAAGGACTATAACCGCAAGTGTTCAGTTGGAAAATAAAATTGCTGGTCGTAATTCTCAAGGGGCTGATTAGCCCATATTTTTAAAAGCGTAAATTACACATAGGTACACTTGTTGGGTTTTGTATCCAATGTTAAGCTTAACAATGAAATCATGTCAGAAAGTAAACATATGCTTGCTTGAAGAAAGCAGTTTTCTGGGTTAACACCACATATACACGGTGTCAAATCCCAGAAGACTTCTTTCATCATAGTCACCGCCGTGAAAGCCTCAAATCTTACATATGCTTGCTTATTTATTTTAATCCTGACATCCGCCTCGCTGTATCTCGCGGAGTAAAACGTTTCGGTGTCGCAGACTGGATCATTTGCTGGTCAGTTTACATCCTCATACAGTATTCCCTTAATTCTAATTAACCTTACATCTATGTCTAGGTCTCCGAAGTAGCTCTTTCCTTCAAATATAACGAATACAATGTTGCATCTTATTTTTCATTTCTTCCATCCGGACTACATTTCCTGTGATGGAACCCTCCTTGATATATTCGCCTTATTTAATGATGGATGTGCGTCCACGTTATAAAGCTCCTGTTTACGCAACTCTCTCCCAGCAGCTGCAGCAAGTTACATAACGAGGAACTTCAAAATTCGTAGGAAGCTGAAGTCTCCTGCTACAGCTTCCCCCTTGGGTCAGAATATCCTCTTCAGATCCCTGTTCTGAAGTGTCGTCAGTCTACCTACTTCCTTCGAAGCAGATCCTAAGTTTCAAAACGGGTCAACTAGCTAACTAACTACATGGAGCTCAGCCCTTCTCGAAAAGTCGTCAGTTGTGAAGGTACTCAAGAAATTCCCAAAATTTTATGGAACCTGAAAGTTCATTTCCGTGTTCACAAGAGCCCTCCACTTGTCCCTATACTGAGCCACATCGATCCAGCCCATACCACCCCAACTTATTTCTATAAAATCAATTTTAATATTATCCCGAAACCTACGTCTTAGTCTTCCTAGTGCTCTACTTCCTTCTGGCTTTCCCACCAATATTGTATAGGCATTCCACTTCTCTCACATTCGTGCTACATGCTCTGCCCATCTCACCCCCCTTGACTTGGTCATTCTAATTACATTTGGAGAAGAGTACAAGTTACAAAGCTCCTCATTATGTAGTTTTCTCCAACCTCCTGTCACTTCATCTCTCTTCGGTCCAAATATTCCCCTCAGCACCCTGTTCTCAAACACCCTCAGTCTATGTTCCTCCCTGTCTGATTCCTCTTTCCATAGAAGAATGTACCAGGAATCTTCCAGCGAAGTAAAGGGCGGCCGGGCGGCCGGCGTGTAAAGCTGACAACCTCACCGCCATCTGTGAGCCGATTGTCTAGAAAATGTGCGAGCCTCGACGTCTCACAACCCTATGGGCCTCTAAAGCCTGTTACAGAGATAACGTTACCTTTTTTAAGCATCCCCAACGGATCATTGACTCAGTTGCTATCTCCAAGGGACGTAGTCAGCCTGAGAACTAGAGAAAACCATTTGATTCTTTGTCTATCCGTTATGTGACGGGCATCTCTGAAAATTTCAACGTACAGGGAATCGTTAAGACATTAAGGAGTCTTAAAAACAGATTACATTCTTTAGAATTCGCTTATGATAACCAGAGCGGAAAGAAATTCGCAACAGACGGCATATTGCGTTTATGGCATTCCTTTTGAATTTGGCAGAAGCGGCGACGGTGAAAAAGCAGGCAGGCGGCCAGCAGTGCACCTTCGGGAACAGTGACACAATAATATTATACAAAAATCAAATTGGCCCGGACATACCTACGGAAAATTTCAAAAGGACAGGCTGAAAAGAAGCCCAGATTTTGAAAATTCGGGTATGCTTTAATTTTTGCAACCTGTTGCATATATGTCACATAAGAATCTTAGGTGGCTATCAACATAACAACTGACAGATACAGTGTGTAATGAAAGTGTTAATATTCTGTTTTATTGTATGTTTTGAGCTAAAGGATCATTATCACGTGGCACTCATTAATATGCATTTCATCTAAAATGGATCCATTTCTCACAATCGCATGGCTCCAATAAAACATCAATGTTCACACGTGTATCGTGAATATCGCGCATATGTCACGATACGCTGGTCAAATGAATCACTGAAATTAATAAAACTGACGTAGTTGAGGCTTGTGCTGGGTGTTTACGTTGTTAATGAATCTTGCTGGCTTCTTTCTTGGCTTATTCTTCGACCATGAATATGGATATATTTTCCGAAACGTCGGTTGACTTTCAACTGACTTCACGGCGTTATAACCCAGAAGACAGAACTCTTCATTAATTCGGAATGGTGACGAAGTTTGAAATTTTAACAAGGATTTGTGGATTCGAATAGAAAAACCTACCTTCCTATTATAACCGCTTGCAACCCCAAAGATCTTGTTTTAAGAATGCCTTATTTGGGTAATTTAAATTTAGAGTGTCACAATGCAATTTTGCTCCTGGGCTAGTATTCTATGCTCATGCGCAGATCATCTTTATCTTATCGAGTAAGAATATTTTGTTGCTTGCGAATGGAATAGGTTGAAGTTATTTTTTTCATTATTGAGCAAAATAGCTTATTATCCTTCCATTTTTACGGGGTTTTTATGCTAGAAATGTGGGATATAAGCTCAAAATTTCCCGCCGTCCCTCTGTTCATAATTACTAACTTATTGATAATATTCTACACAGAATTTCCAGGAATGTGATCGATCTATCTCTGTACAAGAGTTAACATGTCCAGCTCCAGTCGCTATCGAACAGAACTAAAAGTAGGATTTGTGCTGCCACCAATTTGCAAATGATCGCTCTCTCTTTCTGCCACTCTGGAGTATAGCGCATCCGTGAAACGCTTTGTTTCATTTCAATTTCTTAATCCTTAGACAGTCGGTAGGACTCTTTGAATGGGAGATCAGCACATCGCGAGCAGCTACCTACACATAGGACAACATAAACACAGAATAAACGCAGAAAAACATCCTGCTTTGAATGGGGTTCGAACATACGATCCCGGTGTTCGAGCGGGCGAAGACCGCATGGCCACTGCGTTCGGCCACTCTGCAATTATACAGTCATATTCTGAAGATATATTACCCTTCAACATCCGAAAGACTTAGATTACGTGAGGCTAGTTCCACTCCCACCACATAAGTTCGTACTTCCGCTATCTTATTTTTAACGGATTGTCGGAAATTAACACCTATGAGGATGAAATGGACGCGAATTGCACAAACTTCTTTCAAAGATTCTCGAAAAACGACAAAGGGGTTCAAAGTTCAAATGAGGACACAGACACACACAGTCAGTATGATGATGCTGTGCCCCGATTTATTTTACCTTAACGCTGGAAGGTAGGCTCAAATCGATGCTAACCAACTAACTAGCTAACTTCATGGAGCTGAGCCCTTCTTGAGAAGCCACCAATGGTGCAGCTACTCAATAAATTCCCAATATTTTATGGAACTTGAAGGTTAATTACAGTATCCACAAGAGCCCTCCACTGGTCCCTATCCTCAGCCAGTTCAATCCAGTCCATAACACTCCGTCCTATCTCTCTCAGAGCCATTTTAATATTATCCACCCACCTACGTCTTGGCTTTCCTTCTGGCTTTCCCCACCAAAATCCTATATGCATTCCTCTTCTCCTCCATTCGTGCTGCATGCCCTGCCCATCTCATCCTCCTTGTCTTGTTCATTCTAATTATACTTGGAGAAGAGTATAAGTTATGAAGCTCCTCATTATGCAGCTTCCTCCAAGCTCCCGCCAATTCATCTCTCTTCGGTCCAGATATTCTCCCAAACACCCTCAATCGGTGTTCCTCCCTTAACGTCAGAGACCAAGTTTCACATCCATGCAGAACCACAGGTAAAATTATAGTTTTGTATATTCTAATTTTTACGTATTTAGACAGAGACGAGAAGGAAAATGTTTGAACTGAAAGGTTCAATCTCCTCTTAATTTCCCTTTGAATCAAATTTTCGTTTGTTATGGGCCTCCCAAAATACGAGTATCTGAAGTGTGTCGCATTGTCAAAATATCTGTTTGTTATCTGTCTTTATGTCATGATTTTATCCCGAATTCTGGCGACGAGACAGCAATCTATACTTCGTTTTCTCTGCGTTTACTTGTCGACCAACGTCCTTACTAGCGTCAGTTAAAGTTTCTGTGTTTTTCTTTATTATGCATGTTATCAGCCAGTAGATTCACATCAGATCCATGCTACATATTGAATTCCTTAAATAAATACCCTGGATATTTGCCACTCTTACTTCGCAAAACACATTTTTTAATTATATTTCAGGGACGGAGTGAGCAGACGGCAACACTCTCAGTGGGATAATACATCCAGGAGTTGAGCAGCCCCATTAGTGACCTACTCTGCAAGACCCTGGTAACGAGTTCAGGGGGCAAGTTGATATTTGATAGACTAATGGAATTTATCCGACGGATGCGATGGTTCAAAAAGTTAGCGGTTTATGTAGGACAACTCTATTGAAAAACGTGATAACTGCCACATGGAATAACAGGGACAGCTACAAGGAAATCCCATAAATAATTAATGAGATTAAAATGAGGAAAACTGAGATCTTAGTGGTATTACGAAGGAGAGTCAGTAAATTGGTTACAAATAGATAAAAAACGTAAAACATGTGATATTCGAACCCGGAAAAAAACACTTGTTTTTCGACATGTCCTCCACCAACATTCACACACTTGTCGCATCGAAATCCGCAGTGTAGAAGTATTTTGACTGTTGTCTCAGCCATTTCCGGACCTCCGTCTCAATCTCTTCACCATCAGCGAAACTTTTTGACACCAAGGCTGAACCGCATTACCCGGAAAGCACTTCCCACGTTAAACAAGGAACACTTCTGTATGAATATCCCTTTGCCAGCAGAAAGACGCACAGCAGAACGCTGCTCTTCGGCATTACCAGCCTCAAGCACGGTCGCCATTTTGGCTACTGAAACCAGCCTCTGAACATGCGCATGCGCGTCTGCTGCTTCGACTGTCATGAAGCTGGATTGTGCTGCTACCTAGTGATAAATACAGAGTACCTATTACGCACATTACAGCTATTTTACTTCCATTTGTGACCTATTTACCGGCTCTCCCTCGTAGAACCTAAGGCTGGCGTAGACGACGTTCTGAGGAAATATCTAAGATTAAAGAGAACTGGATACATCTGCGCAATTGAGAGGATGGCCATAGTATAAATCAAAGCAGGAATATCACACTGTTGCATTACAGGAGATTACGCTCCACTCGAAGGAAAACTGAGAGGGCAGAGGAATTCTACGCACAACTTCAAGGAAGTATACACACGGCAGGAAAAATAAAAGACTATCATAATTCCACGGAAGCGAATGCTGGGACCAGGAATATGGCAATAAACTAAATGGACCGCAAGGAGAAAGATGATAAATTCCAACGGGACAGAGTTGAAGATATTTTTGTACACGCAATAACCAGTGAGTTACAAACAGTTCTACCCACAATTATGCCTGGGATGATCGAGGATACTGATTCATCACTGATTATATAATAACAAATTAAAAAATTGGCCACGTTTGTTAGACACAGGAGCGAGGTTCATGTTGATCTTTGCTTGCTGAAATATCCTTAAAGAAGCCACGGATAGTGAAGTCAGTTCAAGAGAAAAGTTGCAGTTTCTGTTGCTTGAAGAATCAAATATACAACATTTATACAAAGCGAACTAGTAGCCGGGATAGCACAGTCAGCATAGCGACTAGTTACAGGCTGGTCGACTGAGAGGTCGGAGTTCGAGTCTCGGTAGGGTCAAGTATTTTGTCTTCTCCACGTGTGTAAATCGGCTCTGGGGTTCACCCAACCTCCTATCGAATGGTTACAAGGGGCGCTTTCCCCTGGGGTAAAGCGGTCAGTGCGTGAAGCTGACCACTCACCTCTAGCTAGTGCCGAGGTCAAGAAAATGTGGATCTGTACATCCACTCCCCCATACGCCTTCATGGCGTAGTGCTTAATTAGTTAAGCATAGGGACAACTTTACTTTTTACTTTTACAAAGTGAGGTTAGGTCATTATCTGAGTGGCAGAGCAGGAGGCATGAATAAATACACGTTAACTGCAAGAGCTACAGGAGTGTCAGGGTTACAACACAAGCGAAAATAAAGAAGTTTATAAATAAGACACTATTAAAATTAAGGAAGACCCCAATCTAAGATGGACAGCAGGTACTCAGTATAAGAGTGAAGGAACTGCAGTATGGAACTTGTGTGAATAAGTAGCAGCGGAGAGCAGTAACGGACGAGAGCGGAGCGAGTTAGCAGATCCACAGATAAAACGAGGATTGGTCTGATCCCAAAGGAGGAGTAGGGACAATGCTACAAGGAGGGGCCCTCCAACCTGAAGAGAGGTGCATAAATGAACATCACTCGGTCAATATGGCGGAATTACAAGATGCTTCAAGAAAGTGTAAGAATACAGAAAACTGTCAGAGCTGGACGGAATTAATATGGAATTGATAAAGTATATAAGTGAGAAGGTGGGGGGGGGGAGGCTTGTACAGTTATGTAACGATATGAGGAACATTGTTAGGCTATCTGAATAATAGAAACTAGCACGAAACAAATATTCGCAGAAAAAGAAGACAAAGAAAATATTGAAATTATAGGGGAAACTGCATATTAAGCTCAGTATACAAAATATACAAAAACAAAATAATAGCCTTAGCGGAACAAATCTCACGAGAACAAAGAAAATTCCGCAAAGGTCGGTCACGTAAAACTCAATTCTTTCTATAAAAACGTGTATTAGAAAAAAGGAAATATTATTATCTGCCTTTGTTTCTTCTATTCCTAGATTACGGTGGATTACGGTAGAGTAAATCGGCCGACCACAGTGGCCGAGCGGTCTATGGTATGAACTGTCTTCTCTAGCTCGAACACTGATATCGTGGGTTCGAATCCCACATAAGGCATGGATGTTTGCTCTGTGTATGTGTTTATTCTGTGTTTGTGTTCTTCCGTGTTTAGGTAGAGGCCTTGCAACGAGCTGATCACTAGTCCAAGGAGTCCTGCCGTCTATAAAATGATCATGAAACTGAGAATCAGAGGCCAGGGCCCAAAGGGGCTGTAGAGCCAGTAAAAAAAGTATTATTATCATCATCCTGGAGTAAAAGGGAAGATGGACCGTCAAAGAAGAAGATAGACAAACAGTTCCTTTAGTGTGGGAATGGGTCATTGCTCAGTCATTGAATTGGCCAGAAGAAGAAGAATAAATTGTAATTATGATCCACTTCCGTTTAACTATTTTGAAAGAAGTGCAGTGATATTTTCACAGCGGTGACGATGAAGAGCAGGACTTTCTGCGCCTTAAAGCTGTGTCACTTGGAGAAACCCATGTTTTGGTGGAAAATATTGTCTCCATCTTCAGGGTCGAAGAGTAAGCCATGCTGTACTTGCTGCCTACGTCTTTCTTCTTTCTTACTTGACTTATTCTTCAACCCTGAAGATGGACTAATATATTCCTTCGAAACTTGGGACTTTTTTCGTCATAGCCTAGAAGACTGTACGCTTCTCTGAGAGAATTGTATGAATACAGAAAGTTATCTTACAGAATCAGAAGTAAAACCCTACACGTCATGAAGACCGGCTAGGGGGGTAAGCTAGGCCCTTGGATTTTCGGAAAATATCAAAATTTAAAAAAGGACATATATCAAATACCAAAAATTCTTATATTTTAATTATTCTTATATTCTGACACTCTAGGGCGATGAATGAAAATAAGCATAAAAGATTTGAACGTAAGTTTGTAACCAGATTTTCTGTCTGCACCCCTTGGGGCGCGCTTATGCTGTTGATATTTATCACGGTGACAGACGCACAGCCATGTTATGGCTAGCTCTGCATTAGTGTCCTCTAGAACTGTTCGCTCGCTAATGGATAGGCATCCAAAATGATTTTACCTTCTTTACAATGGTACAGTATTTCAACTAGAAACACTGATCATCTGTCAAAATAACTTCGCCTTTTAATTAGATTAGTTAACACGAGTTTCCACTACTGAAATAGAATAAACGATACGCGTTCACCAAATATAATTAAACGATTAATATATTAACAACATTTAACGAAGACATGCGATGCCGTGTAGCTTGGCATAAGTTCACCGACATGAAGAAGGAGGCAGTACGTTCTTCCGAAACGTCCGTGAACTTCTGCCAAGCTACACGGCGTCAACTCAATGGGCGGCATTCTTCAAGGTCGCAGCTGTAAGAACCTCAGAACCGAAATATAATGCATCTTGATTATGCATGTGTGGAGCCTGTTATAAAGCATAATCCAAATTTTATATATTAAAAATAATAATCTCTAATTACACCTTAGTTTATACAAGAAATGGTACAGAATTAGCCTATTTCACTGCAACACTTTACTTTATCAAATCATAAATTTTCCAACTCTCCTCATAACTCACCCAGTACCCTTGCTGTAACCATGGCGATGGATAAGCTCGTTGCTGGTGAACGTGGCAGATAACAAGAAATTTATATTAAACAGTCACTAATCGCGTGACCAAGGTTCACTAAATGAATTCCACATTACTATTACTGGTCTGTATCACAAAATATTTCATAACAGAGGGTGCTATCGAAGCAGACCCATGTGACGTAGGTAATTCTGTTCTGTGAAATGGACGACGTGTCTTAGACTGACGGAAAGGAAGTTACGTCACAGTTTCCGTAACTTCAACAACAGTGAATTTCTTTCTTAAGTACTTCTAAGTAAATCACTTTCACAGATATCACACTATATTTATGATTACAATTTTAATCTTAATTTAAGACGTACATCACCATAAATTTGAAAACAATCAAAGATAATCCTTGTAGTTAGTCAAATTAAAAACTGTAACATCATTTAAGAAATTTAGAATTATTAAACGAAATGCGAAGTAAAACTGTTTGCTTCAAAACTGATCAATAATTTTAGAAATGTCATAAAAACTATTACGACATTTATGACCAAGTGTTTTTAGATCTAATTATGAATCCATGAGTTATGTATCTCCTTCAGATTGAGAAATACACCGATTTCAAATCGAGGGGCTAAGATATCAGCCACCACAAAGCCTTTAGATTATTATTATTAATATTATGACTATTATTATTGTCATTAACATCATCATCATGCCCTACATATATTAAATTGTATTTGTTTCATATGTCTACATTGTTTATTTTCCTTTGCTGGCCCTGTAATTGGCTCTTGTAGCTGTTGAGTTAGCACGTTAAAACAAATAATGGTGTGGAATTAACATGATTATTTTTAATCTCTGAGGAATGAGGAAAGTAAAGGTACGTGTAGTGTGTACGTCTCTAAAACTACCTCACATAAACAAGTCAGCAGCAATAAAGTGCAAGATTTATATTCCATTACCTCTTAAATTGTTATTCATCGTTCACCTGTACGTAAGGCATCGAAGTTTAAGTTACTTCTGACCATTTCGCAACTTTACGGTTTAACTAACCACAGTTTAGTGCAATAATATCATCAATTAAGAAAACAACAGCTTAAGTCTATTAACAAAATTGACTAAGTAAGTTTCATCTCGCAACATCAATTCTCCTATTCCGGTGTTTATCCAGAATAACTGAGTGAAATGACGAAAGTCCTGTCTCAGGATATCTGGTGCCTCATCCGAGACTTGAACCAAGCACCTCCCGACTATGAACCAAAAGCATTACCACTCCGCCAGTGTGAGGATATGGACTGGAACCAAGGGATTTAGGGTAGGGTCCTTTTGGCAAAAAGATAATGGAATTTTGGTTTCTATGAAAGGTTGTAATTCTGAGTGCAACAGCAGGCAATGGTTTGTGTGGGCCTAGATCAAATTAATATCACCATATCTGGCCATCAGCTTTATTTTAAAAACCGCAATTACTTAACAAAGTAAGTTTCGAAATCGTTATACCAAATTTTGTTTGGGCTTCTGTATTGTCGGAATGATAATATATCTGCAAGCAACGTGACGCCAATTAGGTCAATTAGAGCTGAGTAGATACTGTTCTGACGTCACCCTGGAAGACTTGGTCATTACAAGAATTCGGCTACTTGGAGAATGCTATTGAAAAGCACATTCCTTCTCCATTGCCAAAAAAAAAATGCTCCATTGATCTAACAATAGTAAAATTAAGGCAAGGATATATAAAAATTGTCCCTGTGTTTAGCTAATTCAGCACTACACCATGAACATGTATGGGGAAGTGGAGGTAGAGATCTACACATTCTTATCCTCGGCACTAGACGGAGGTGAGTGGTTGAATCGACACCTCGGCCGTTTTAACAATGGAGGGGGGGGGGGAAATCCAACGTTTCCCATTGGATACTGGGCTGGCTGAGCCTCAGACCCAGTCTAGACGCTGTGAAGAAAGGAAACGTCTTTTGCCCTTGTCGAGAATCGAATCTCAGCCCGTAGCTTTGCCGACTGAGCTATCCCGACCTCCCAGTAAAAGATATGTAATTCTTTAAATGACATCGTTAATAAGCGGCTTAATGAAGGAGGGACAGGTAAGACTTCTAATGAAAGGTAGATATGTAAGAATATTATTTTGAATTTTGTTGAAATTCCTGATTTAGTAAAACCACTGTTTATTTATTCATTTTCAGTCCTAAGATGAACAGAATACGAAGGGAAACTAGACGCTATATACTTTCAATATAAGCAATGTCGTTAAATAAACACCTTAAGAAACGAAAGAAAACTTCATTTCGATCTTGGTTCCAAAGTACACGTGCTTTAAACTGCGGTTTAAGCTTTATATTGAGAAGCAAACTCTCTGTCCTTGTTCGAGAGACAGGCAGGTGTGATCTGCTAATCCGATTCAAAAACATTCATAAATTTTCTATCATATATGTTAATATTTCCCCTTACCTATCGAGACGTAAACCGTATCTTTGTACGAAGCAGCAGTTGACGGCATTGGTAACCTGTAGAGAACCAGTCTTCTCGCCAGCGAAATAAATGTCCAGGTTTCAATCAATCAAGCATCGAATGAAGGAGATTGCAACCAACACTCGTAACACACAGTAGTGGATAAACAACACCAGCATCAACGAAGCACTCTACAAAAATGGTGTCGGGAAACCCGACGCATGAAACTAACTTGACAGTCTCATTGTAATGTCTTTCTCTCTTCTATACTACCATATCTGCAGTGCAGAAGAATGATTGAGGAGGACGGAGATACCACTGAGCAGCAAACCTGGGAAATACCAGACGAGCCAGACCCAGCACTGTGTGTGTTATGTTGCAGACTGGCTGTAGTACTTACACAGCTGTGTTATGAACATAGACCCCCCCCCCACACCCGCAAGTCGAAATTTCCATCACTTCAGAAACCACAAAAGAAATTCACCATAAAAAAGCTGCTTCATTTCATCCACCCAGCACAAGCCCCAAAAGAACAAAAACGCTGCAAATCTGCGGGAATCCCTCATGACAGGAGCACATAAAATTACGTATCTTTAATTAATTAACTCCATTAAGTGCAGCCCTTCATTAGAAGCGAACAACTGCGCAGCAACTCAAGACTTTCTCAACATTTTATGGAACCCGAAGGTTCATTACCGTGTTCACAAGAGCCATCCACTGGTCCCTACCTGAGCCACATCACTACCTACGTTCACCTCTCTAACATTCGCCGTTTTAGACTGGTCATTCAAGATGTGTCGTAGCGTAGTTGGGTGAGACACTATCCTACAAGCTGGAAGGTTGTGGGTTCGATTCCCGACAAGGCCACTGGATGTTTTCAATTAACCTAATCCTTCCAGCCCTGGGTCGACTCAGCCTCTCACAGAAATGAGTACCAGGAATCGTCCTGGGGTAAACGTCGGCCGGAGTTTAAGGCTGAAAACCTCACCGTCATCTATGAGCCGATTGTCTGCAAAATGTGGGAGCCTTGACGTCTCACAACCATATGGGCCTCAATGGCCTATTACAGGGATAACTTCAATTTTTCACTTCACCTCTCTTCGGTCCAAATATACTCCTCAGCAC